ACTCGTACTGCTACTGCTACTGCTACTGCTACTGCTACTGCTACTCGTCCAGCTACTGCTACTGCTACTGCTACTGCTACTGCTAATGCCACTACTACTACTACTACTACTACTACTACTACTACTACTTCTCCTCCTACTACTACGACTTTCACCTTCACTACGACTGCGACTACCACGACGACGACGACTACGACTACTACTACCACCACCACCACCACCACCACTCCTGCTGCTGCTGTTGCAATGTCCCCAGGATTCGCTTTACCAACAGTCTGCCATCGTTGTCGGATGCATCGTGTGCCCTAGAAGATATGCATCCGAAAACATCTGAGCCACTTAGCAACTCGCGGGAATCTTCGGCTTCATCGAGTTCAACCAGGATGATTCTAGGGAGCCGTGTTCCCACAGCCCTCGCCGGCAAAGGTCTTCTCTGTAACTTAGCGGACGCCCTCAATTTCTTCATCAACTGGAAATTTGCCCACCCCTTCACGCATTGAGGAGCGGCAACTCTGGGCTTCCGGGGCTTCAGGCCCTCTCACAGCCCCTCTCTCGATAAAGCGTAGCAAGAAGGATCTGCAACGACACGAGGATATTGGATGTTGACCCCCCTTCCGCAGCCCCAGAACGCCCTCCTACACATCGGACAAAACAAGCAAAGAGATGCAAAGAGCCCTCGCCTCATCTGCGCCGGTGAAGCGAAGGTCGGTTGTGTCCTCTTTGGCCTTCGCTTATGGGCGCCCTACATTGCTTGAGAGAGCTGATATACCATAAGTATGTCTACATATATATATATATATATGTATGTCTGTGTGTGTATGTGCTCATGTATATATGTATATATACATACACACAGATACGTAGCACAAGTGTAGAATGCTATGTACTATGTTGATTTGCAGTGGAATTCGCTGCTATTGAAACCAACAATGCCACCACGCAGTGGCTATGTGGTGTACTTTTACTAGCCTTATGGTCTGCTGGTCGTCCCGACCTCTTGAAGCACACAGGCCCCCCTCCAACTCATCATCTTCTGCATGCGAGCGAAAACCACAAGTATACTGCATTATTATTATTATTATTATTATTATATATATATATATATTGATATTGCTACAGAGCTACGGCTACTGACAGCACTATCCCTGACAGGTCGTTCTGAGGTTTTGGTCGCCAGGCCACGGCCGCCACCGCGTGAGCAGTGTGCTCGGCCAGATGTTTCGAGAGCACAGCCAGTTTCTTCTCGTCTGCACGAGAGCTCCTGAGGAATCCCTCGCCATGGGTCGCTTAGTTGCTAGAATCTGCTAGAACAGATATACGACTCGGCAAGTATAGCCGATGGGCCAGCCGGCCAAATAACTCTCGTCGCACGTGTCTCGTCGGTCTGACCCGAATGTACTTCACGCACTTCTTCGAGATGCTGACAGTGCATGTTGTGGTGTTGGGCACATTCGTCGAGTTTTCACTAGTGAAGTGGGTGCAGGAACTGGCCATGTGCTTCACTGGTTAGAGGCCAAAGCTAGGGCATGCCACCAAGAATGCTGTGTGGGACGGAATTCGTGATTTCTTGCACTGGAATCATGCCCTGAAACTGTGCGCCGCAAACCCTGTGGGCCGTGAGCCATCCAGCACGCTCCGTATACAGCTCGCCACAGATGAAGCTACCCTGGACTCCCCAAGCCCGGAATCCTTAAACCTGAAACCGCGTACCCTCAACCACAATCCCAAATCCTTTAGTCATTATAGAATTTGACCCCACCCTTCTGCTTTCCGCTCCTCGCAAGTCCTAGTGCCCGCAGCAACGGTGCCGCAGTCGTCGCATTGATCAGAAGCCTGGGTGGGCTTGTGAACTTTGGTTCAGAGAGTTTGGGACGCTTGGGAATTGGAGAGATAGTGTCTATTAGACATGGGGCTTAACGCTAACAAGGGGCTTTAGCGGATCAGCCTTTTCGGTTGCTTTCGTTGCCTTAAGTTTAAGCTTCATCAGCCCGCCGTTCACAGACAGTCCGTACCGAGCTTTGCAGCCGTTGCTCTGATAACATGCAACCTGTTGAATAGAGATGTCCGTGACTGCCACTGAGACGCTCTCTTCCAGCCATGTCCCTCATCATAAGACCGTGCTGTACCAAAAAGGCTGCTTCAGCTCAAAGTTATCAGATACCATCATTCCCCATCGTCAGCTGCAAAGCGGAGTGCTCGCCGAGTAGTCTTTGCTTGCTGGTGTCCTTGTATTCGATTGTTTGCTCTGGAAGAAGTAGCCCATTCTGACTGAAACCCTCCGCAGAGCAATTGGTCCCTGAGTTCCCACCTGCAAAGGAAACCCTTCGGACAAAGAGTTCATTATGCCCCAAACTTGTATGCTCTCTGTCATAAACCCTAGGCAGCTTGATTCATTGTTTGCCCGAAGTTGTATACCTACAATCCGAGCAAAGGCTTCAGTCCTCAAGGAAACATGCGGTGTATGTCTGGCAGCGTCAGCGCAGCGATACCACCCACGTGGAACATGATGCGGGCACCCATCTCCCTCCACGTGAATTCTTGCTTCGGGTCGTCTTAGCAAGGGAATTATCTGAGGCATTTGGCAAAAGTCTAGCTTTCGGCGGCTGTACGGCTACTATTGATTATTGTGGGTCGTATGCCAAGGGAAAGAGACGATTGCAACTGATGAGGTGATGCATGGACAGAGATCATGGAAGGTCGAGGCGCTGTGGGAAGTGGTGCGAGGATGAATTGGGCTGGGGGCGTCCATGACATTGATCGCAACAGCGGCTGTTGAATTTTCTGAGTCAAGACTTCTTTGCCAGGTTGAGTTCGACAGCATGTGCACCGAAACAGTAACAGACAACTTCGGCTCCAGAAGAATACTACTGAAACCACGAAAAAAGCCACAGTCTTCCGCTGCGGTCACCCTGGCCCTGGATCCAGACTTGCTTTTTGGGCACCGGCCTCGAGACCAGTGGCTCCTCGTCGATGATGATCGCCAGGGTCAAACTCACTGCACCTGCCGAACTGCAACCAGTCCTTTCTGAAAGGGAAACTGTAGTCACTGTAGAGATGCGCTGTGGCGTCTTTGTACGTATGCTTAGAGGTAGCTATACGACTAGAAGCACGAACATGGAAACAACATGTATACCGGCAAATATAGATACAACACACTCGATGCGCGCACAGATGAAGAAGATGTGTGCAAGGCCGAGGCGACCATCAATGAAGACAGACTCAAGGCCAAGGGCCATCCCAAAGCCCTGTGCCTCGCAACAATCATTGTCTCGGAAGCCCTGATCCTTCCCCACGAGGTGTTCCGAACGAACCAAAATCGAATCAAGAACCGACGCCCCTAAATTCAGAGCTCAACTCTGCACACCAAAACTATGCCATAAGCGATTGACCCGAAATCCTTCAGACCCCAAATGCCTTGAACCCTATGAATCCGAAATCCTACACCTTCAAGCTCAAACTCTTCGAAACCCCGACCCTTGAAGTAAACCCTATTAAGGGCGGCATATAGCGTGTTGATTCCTCGGGCTGGGGGCTGCTGGGCTTCGGTGCCCAAAGAGCCCAATACCCTAGCTTAACTAAGGAATACACCTTAAAGAATAGGGGAGTTAATATTATGGTTTAAGGTATATTCCTTAAACAATAGGGGCCATCCTTCAAGCCGTCGACACGACGGCTGCACCTCGAAGTCCACTCCAGATCATTGCGATGGCCTCACGTGGATCCACCGGTGAGCCGACCTCGTGGGCTTTGCAGCGCTTGGGCTCTGTAAGGTCATCATGGATGTGATTAGGATTGTTTATTATGGTTGGCGAATCTTGGGGGGTCTGTGACTCTATGATGAAGGCTTTTTCTGGCTTAGGCTCTAGCAGTCCACGGAGTGTTCAGGGGGTTTCGGGTCTTTCTGAAGGGCTCCTAGACGTCTCCCGGGACTCGCGCCGAGTGAGGCCGAAAGTGTAGAGAAAAAATTAGGGTTTAGGGTTTAAGGGAAATTGTAAGAGTCTCAGTCATGTCTGTGGGGTTTACCCTAGACTCTAGACTCTAGAGCCCAGGCCCCAATGATTCAAGCCTATCGTTAAAAGGCTACGTAAGCCCGGGATGCCGAAGTACAAGTTTATGATGAAGGCCTTACAGTCTTAGGCAGAAGGGCCAGTTTGGCCCCTCCTTCGTGGGCTTAAGTAGTCTCGGGCTTGACCAGGACCACTTCATTTTGCTCATGGGCACAGGGTATGAGCATACAAACACGGAAACGTAAGGTGAAAATAATGTAATTATCAATCACTTATCTCTCGCTCTCGCTCTGTCTGTGTCTCTCTGTCTCCGTGTCTCTGTGTGTATTCATGTATGTATATATGCATTTATGCATGTATGCGTGTATGTATGTA